AGGTGGAATAGGCTCGTACTCGACAAAAGGTCTTTGCGAAAGGCGTGTACTTTATTCCTTCTTCGTAGGTGTGCATGCGTCCGTAGTCGCATGAGCCGTACGTCAGTGTTGGTGGACTGCCCAGTGGCACCACGATGACCGGGATAAACTCATCACACCACAGCATGGACAACTCGAGGCTGTGATTGTGCATCTTATCAGATAGAAGCAAGATACTCGATCGAGCTCAGCTACAATTTGGGACCATCACAAGTTATTGCAGCCTCCAGTGACGCAGTGCTGATTTTGTTCAGCACCCGGGTCGAGCCCACCACCAACAGACGTTTCTGTTACAGGGCCTTTTGAGGAAGAAACCTAGAGCAAAAGCGAAGTCTATTGTCACTTGGGTAGGCTGCACTGGCCCTGCCTTGGTCTCCTCCACGTGGGGCGTGACAAGGACAGCAGTCTTTAGTCATGGCAGGGTGCGTGCTGCCAACTCCACACCGACTCGTCGTACTCGCATTCGCCAATCGGAGTCGTTGAGCAGCCAGCACATCCCCCATGCATCTTCCCCGGATCGACACGCCGCTACTGCCAGGGGCAAGCCGAGCCGTCATCGTCATCGTTTGCCCATGCCCCAATGCCAAGTCACAAACTCCTCTTGCCCCTCCAATCCATACGCAAGCCTCTCACGACAAACACAAAATCACCTCACACGCTAGTCAGCCAGAATTAAGACAATCGTACAAGCCATATTTTTTGAGCGCCAGATCATCCCCCGAAATATAGTACAGTGTCCCATACCCGAAGAAATAGAGATCCTATGCACCGATGCTATGCTACCAAATCCACTAGGCTGTACATTACGCCTATCAGCTCTTCATCACTCATTCTGCCCAGACACTCCACGCAAGAGCATCCAAACCCTTCGCGCAAGCAACTTTTTTTTTCTGCGTGTACGAGCCTTTTCACAGGAATGCTATGCTCCTGTTTTACGATGATTCGCCTCGGGGGCCGCCACGGAAACCGCCACGTCCTCCCCTGAACTCTCCACGGCCACGGCCACGGCCACCACGGAATTCACCGCGGGGTCCACCTCGGCCCCTACCCCTGTATCCGCCACGATCACCCCCACCGTGACCTCCTCGTCCCCGGCCGCCACGGCTGTGATGAACTTCAGAAAAGCCGTCGTTAGCAGCGGCAGGGCCTGTGGGCGCCGAGCCTTGCTCGGGAGTGTCGTCGGCCCAGCTCTGGGTGCTGTTGGGGGCAGCAGCAGCGTGTGGTGTCTCAGTTTCGGCAGGGTCTCGCGGGACTATTTCAAAAGATTCAGTCAGAGGGTCGTCGCTTCCAGTCTGCTGCTTGTCCCATTGGGCCTGAGCTGCAGCGTTCGCCGAGTCTGTTCCAACGTTCGCTGCTGCCGGTACCTCTGAAGGCTCTACCGCAGCTTCAGTAACAGGCTTTGCGCCAGCCTCAATCTCGGTAAGTCCGGCGTTGGCGATGGTTGGGTCAGACACGGCCTCAGGAGGGGCAGCTTGGTGTTGCGCAACATCATCCACCCACGCCTCCTCCGCCGCGAAGGGAGCCTCCTCAAGTGCGGCTTGCTTCACCTGAGAGTCTATATACAGTCAGCTCATTTTGCTCTCGCACAAGATTCTGCATAACCTACAAGTGATGCCGAGCACAACGCCTTCAGTTGATGGTACGCCATCGCTCGCGCCGTCAATCAGCTTCTCAGCTGCCATGACAGCAGCGGCATCTCCTCCATAGACCTGGAGAAGAGCGCCCTCAAAAGCCTTTGTGAGATCCGAATCGTCGTCCTCTAATTGGCGACGTGCGGCAGCAGCTCTCAAAAAGCGGGACAGGGTCAGGAGCTTCTCCTTGACAATCCTCTGTTGCTCCAACTTGGCCTCGGCCTTGATAGTCTCCCTCAATGTCTCGAGTTCGCTAGAGTGTGTCTTGGAGAGAAGCTCCTTCTCCTTGGCGAACTTGGCCTCGAGCTCATCACCGTACTTCTTATAGTTGGTGTACTGCTCTTCGTACTGTGCGAGCTGAGCCTGGAGGCCTGGTTTCCTCTCAGCCTGGGCCTTCTGGTCGGCGTTGATCTTGCGAGAGGCGAGGAGCTCATCGAGGGAGACGCCAGGGTTGGCTGCGATTATTGAATCGACCTTTTGAGTTGCGCTCTATACATGCGACGTCAGCAAGGGCTAGTGTGAGGGGTAAAGGGGCATCCAGATCTTACCAGCTTCTTGTTGATGTTGCGGATGTTTCTATGCGCCCGGTTGTTAGCAGGCGGCTTCTTTTCAAATGAGGAGTCTGGCTGTGATGTGGAGAGTTGCAACTTACTTCTGGACCTCGCGGAGGTACGAGTTGTCGCTGTCTGCGCCATTGGCCTTGCCTGCAGCCTCAGAGCCACCTGCGCCGGCTTCAGACGCTGTCTTTTCGGGTGCAACTGGCACTGCAGTAGCTCCATCCTGCTTGCCCTTCTTCTTGCGAGCACTCTTGGACTCCCCTGTTACCAGGTTCTGTAGCTTATTGACTACCTCCGAGGCCATTGCAGTGTTCAATTATGCAGATTCTGATGATTTAAGTGACTTCTACACGTGAGTCGCGTACTTGAATTTGAAGGTGAATTCGAGCTTGTATGTCGTGTGAGTTTGAAGTGGATGGTTTGGGCACATGGTCGCCCGCCCTCAACGTAACAGCGAAATTAGCGTGGGCACTAGCGCCCTCGTGGGCATGACGCACCCCCCCCCCTCGGGCGCTGAACATATGCAATAAGCAAACACCTGCCCGAGGTCACAGTTGCTGCCTGCATACACAGAGAAGCTCCTCATCCGTCACGTCTGTGTATAAAACGCTTAGAAACTTCCTGGCTGTATGTATTTTCATGCGACATATATACTCGCCACACAAAGAGCAGTCAATGCTGATCGATTGCTGAATCTTGTTTGGCAAAGGTGAATCAAGAGATGAGATTATGTAGATAGAGTTGCATGGTGATACCATGTAACTCGCAATAGAGTATATGACGCTTACTGGGTATCACACCGTCCGATCCGACAGTAACTTCATGGGATCCTATGTAAAATCGTAAACCACAAGTGCTTGACTGCCTTCACTCTTCTCTCGCAACACGACAACGTTTTGCTCATCAAATCCAACCCATCCTCGACTGACTGATGAGTCATCAAAGCCTTGGTCAAGTGCAAAGCGTAGCCCACTCTCCCCTCCGGAAGCATCGTTTTGACTGTCTGCTTCGCCAACTTTCCACGGTTGTATGCGCACGCTCAACTCCCCGTTCCTTGAACGTTTGCGGTTTGCAGAAGAATTCATGCCGCCCTCTAAATCCCAGACACGGAGTTCGTCTCCAATTCTGCTAACTGACACGGCCTTACCGCGCATTCCGACGTGGGCGCCAGAAATCGAAGATGTGTGGCCCCAAAGCCGGTTTCCGGAACTGATTGAGAGCGACGAAGATGCTGATCGCACCAAGTACAACGACAAAGTATTATCTGGGTGCGCCACAAGGAGGTAAGGATGCGAATACGACATCGAAGTCGGCTTCGATCTGCTAGGTCCATTAGGGACAGATGCATCGCTTGCACTGTCTGAGGAAGAGTATACTGGACGGGAAGATGGAGAACGATACGCAGACAGTGTAAATGAATGTTCGTCTGCGGCAGTAGCCAACCTTGACTCTAGAAGCTCGCCCTTGTGAGAAAGTATCAGTTCTTGTACACCGACAGTCCAGCCAGACAGATAGGTTGGAAGAGAGTATGCAATGGCTGCAGTCATGCTTGTCGCATTCATCCTTAGTGAAAGAGAAACGGGTGGCCATGCAGTGTGTGACCGGAGGGAGTACAGAAGTTTAGGGGCCTCCAATGCGCCATGCGTATTTGGCGTCCCTTCGAAAGCGTATAGGGAAAGGAGATGATCTTCAGTCATGGTAAGAAGGTAAGGCGACGAGTACGCCAGTGCCGATAACATCCCATTAGTGGATGGTGGGTGAGTAAAGAGAGTTTGGAACCTCTTGCGATCTTTCCTTAGCGCGTATATCGAGAATGAACCATCCTCGAAGCCCATAGCTACCCTCTCTTCGTTACCCTCTTTTCCAGAGGCGTCTATAGCCATAGATATGGGTAGTTGAGGTGCACATGCTTCCCCATGGAGTTCCGTGGATGCCAGTAACTCGCGATCGTCCTTCGAGCTCCAAGCCCGGAGACCTGACAATGAATCTGCGGCATAAACAATGCTGTTCGACATCATGACCAGAAGAGGTGGATCTGGCGGCCGCTCGGCGACGACAATCTCACTAACGGCGCATTTACCTCTTGTCCAATTATGCCGTAAACGATATTGCTGTTTCCAGTTGGTTTCTTTTCCATCCTTGATAAGATAACTGTCCTCTAGCCATTTTGACAACCGAGAGGAGTAGTGTAATCGATTAGGATTGGCAGGGTCTTTAATGCCGGGTATACGAGATGCCCGTGGGAGAACGAACGTGTGGTAGTAGGCTGCCTTCCAAAGCTCGGAATCCAAAGACAGGCGACTGAACCGTTTCGACACCCTGCGCGACAGTTAGTTCGGGTTCGGTCTGTCAGGAGAGCGTACTAACCTCTGGCATACTAGGAGTGACGGTACAGGGATAAACGACAGTACACGAACCAACAGCTCTTCACTTAATCTAGAAAGCCGATCGGGATGCAAGAGCCGTTGCACTTTGGCTGGAGGCTCATTTTCTTCATCCCCATCGTGCGCACGCTTCATAATAGAGAATGTCGAGTCTGCGGCGAAGGCGAGCGAGCCTCGGGAATGATTGTACCGCCGTTATCGTTATCGCGTACTAGTTCGTGTCCGTGCGGCGAGGCACTCGTGATTACGCGTTGGCACTAGCGCGCTTCTTTGGACGTTGCCGCCTAATTGATTGCGCTGCTCATCCCCAGCCGCGCTTAGACGAGAGTATATCCAATTTCACCTGAGTGGCCACGGTCCTAATTCATGCAATATTCTTTGTGCGAGAGATGGAGGATTTCACAGTCTGGGTAGAGCAGAACAAAGCGCTGTGGTCGCGTGTCTACGATGAGGTCATCCAGCCAAGTCTCGAGAAAGAGTGGAACAAGAGTACGTATGATCCTAGTGGCGCCAGCAATATCTAATTGCGCTTAGGAGAAGAGAAACACCAAAATCAATTAAAAGAGAGTGAGTAATGCCGTACATTCGGCGCAACCATCACTGATGTCCAGTAGAGGAGAAGAACCATGAGGCACTACTGGAACATCTAAACAATGAGATTTCGAAGTCGGCGCGTCTTTCTAACGAGAACGCTCAGTTGAGAGATCAAGCCCAGACTAAAAGTAACATTCAAGGGGAGAAAGGGACCATTACGCAAAGTATTTCTATCGAAGAGCACCGCCGCCTAGTCGAAGAAAATGAGCAATTGAAACAGCAACTTGCCAGACGCAATGCAGAAGTTGACTCATCACCACCAGCTGAGAATAAGGCAGCCGAAGACGTCGGGACGACAACCACAGACAATGAATATCATGACCTTGCCCAAAAGTTCAGCCAACTGAGTAAAAGGTATAGCGATGCCACTCAGCAGGTGAAGTATCTGCAGAGGAAGAATGCCACAGTCATGCAAAAGAACAAAGACATGAAAGAGAGTGTACGCGCATGGCAAGAGTATGCGGATCGGCAATCGGGGAAGCGGAAACCTAAGTTTCAAAGTCGAGTCGAGGAAGCAAGGCTGCAATCACCTACAAACCATGTTTCTCCAGGAAACGAACCCAATATCCCTTCAAGTCCTCGGAATTCGGCTACACCCAGGCTATCTCCAACCCTCACTGACGTAGGGCGTTCCTCTCCCGCTGTCATGGTTCCTCATGCCGCCGAAGGAACTGGGCATCAGTCGACGGCGATATTGGATTCCGTTTTGGGCGAACAAGATCCATCTGGAAATGCGGACATCACACCAAGGCCACGATCTCGCATCAATAGTTCAAAACTATCAAAACTTCAACGGATGACTTCAGATCACGACAGCCATCAGCAAGGTCATCCAAGTTCGAGCCAGACAACAGTAGATGAGCACGATGAATCAACGACTCGGCATGAACAGATAGTAGGCGTTGAAGATGAAGATGACGACATGCCGGAGTTTGTATCAGAGAGATCACTGAAACGCAAACGTGGAGAACCCACCGCTTCTAGATTCGAGATTTACACAGACCGGTTATCGGATGGCACACCGGTCAGGCCGTACCGTGTGAAAGAAGAACAATGCAGTAGCCCTCCGGTCTCTGCATACAAGTTACTTCACCACGAGGCGACGATGGACCTGGATGATCCTGCATCCAACTTGCTTCAGACACCTCGTCACAATCGAAGGCGACTATCAATCCCTGCCACCAGCGCAGAGACACCTCGAAGGCGAAGATGCAACAGTGCACCATCAACACAAGAGATCAAATCAGAAAACGGAGTAGACCAGGTCCGTGTGCCAAATGATCCAATAAGGCGGACTACAGAATCCCTTATGCTTCCAGCGGTCGCCAGCACTGAAACTAGAGCCTTGAGTGAGCCCATGGAGTCAACCCAAGTGGAGACAAATGTCCTAAAATCTATCGATCCAAATATAGTGAACACTGTTCCTGAGGAACCACCGAATAAACGCTCACGAAACACGGGGTCCAGGTATCAACAAAAGCATGAATCTTTATTGGAGTCCAATGAAGCACCGCCCTCTCTAGGTAATGAGCTACGATTGCCACCTAACTCAGCCCGGGTGCGGATGAACCAGAGGCTTCGAGATCTGAGAGGTCTCCAAACACCTTCCAAAACACCATCAAAGACCCTACAGACAGGTCCAACCAAGGTCAAGATTGAGCAGTTTTCTACCCCATCAAGCCCGTCCCACACCACACATACCCCCAGTCTTGAGAAGAAATCGTCCAAGTCAGTATCCAAACGTCGTTCGGATTCACGTGAAGATCCGATACCGGACCGCCCAATCTGGACAATGAAGCCGCCAGAGACACGCTCAAGTGCTCGTAAGAAGCGTGATTTGTCAACCAAAGAACAAATCCCTCTACGAGAAAAACCGGTCACGGAACTTAGTATTCAAGATTTTAAGCCAAACCCAGCTTACAATCAGGGCTACAGCTACGCATTCTCTGAAACTGTTCGGAAGCGAGGAGATCGCATGTGTCTCCCTGGCTGTACAAATCCACAGTGTTGTGGCTCTACTTTCCGAACCTTTGCAGCGGCTCAAGCACCTCTTAATGGATCACAAGAGGAGGATTTGTTGGAAGAGTATCTAGGTGAGGCTTACAGCAAATTGCAGTTGACGCAAATGTCATCTGAGGAACGACAGGAGCTAGTGCTTCAAGCACGAACAAGGAAAATGGCGAAAGAATCAGGGAAACATCGTGAAGCCTACCAGAGACGAAGGACACCACCAGGCTTTTGGAGGGTAGATTTTCCAACAACTCAAGAACGGGAGGAAGACCGGGCCCGTGCGAAAGAACAAGAGAGATTGGAAATACACGAACGGTGGATTGAGGCGAACAGAAGGGGCGGCAAATGGGTTTTCAGAGATGAATAATAGTTTTGTTTAGAGGCTCTCACTGTGTAGGGCGCCATACGTGAACCATGGTTACGATTTTGAACATGAATTTATGCTCCTGTCAACCATAGTACCACATTGAACATTGTGCACCAACAATGAATATTGACATATGGGGTAACCTGCTCCTATTCACATATAAGATCGACCCTCCATAGTACTTGTACTCTCCAAGCTAGATCTTCTTCATATCACACAACACACCACTTCCTGACTATACACACCACCACCAAAGCCACATCAAGGCTATACCAGAGCCACACCAAGAATAGGTTCAAATACCTCACACAAATCACAACAATCATGTCTCAACCAACATACACCCGCGAAGAATTCCTCTCCACCTTCATCAAATCCGCCACCACCTCACCACACAAGACCGAAGAATGCCCAATCTGCGCAGAACCCTACTCCTTTTTCTTCGGTCAAGGCGCAGTAACTTTCGGCGACCGAGAGAGCTGCAACCACGTCTTTTGTGAATCCTGCATCACCCAATGGCTGAGCACCGAAGGGGTGAACTCCTGCCCATTATGCAGGAGGCAGCTATTTGTCTCGGATGATGATGAAGAAGGAGAAGAAGAATACGACGACGACGACGAGGAAGAGGAGGAAACAGAAGAAGGGGAATACGCCTTCACCGACGAGCAACTCCATGAGTTGCTCGAAAACGCTTGGTACAAGGTGTTTTGGCTCCTTGAGCCGCACCGCCAAAAGGTCGCGAGGGGAGGCGAAAACGTTTCTGGAGCCGGCGACGAGGAAGATGAAGAGGACTCCCCTCTTCATCACTCCATCCTCATCCATGCTTTCGTGCGCATCCTCGCCGCCCGTGTAGACGTCCACGCCCTCAACGATGCCACGGGGCTCACCGGCGAGTACAAGATGCACGTGCTCAAGATTGTTCTGCGGCGAATCATGGCGGAGCTCGTTGAGTACATTGAGAGTACTGGGGGAAGGGAAACGGTGCCGGAGTTCCCAAGGGATAAGGCGCTGGTGTGGGAGGAGCCGTTGAAGGTGGTCATGCAGCTTCTCTAGATTGTTTTCGAAGACTGCTGATTGGGGGTTTTGGAAGGGGGAAGCGCATAACAGGTTGGATTTGCTTGGTTGTAGTGGCTTGGATATCCCTGGAGGGGATTTGGACTGTGGGGCTGGACCCGTATATGCAGCCTATAGCTTGAACATTGCTTGAAGGACACCTGTAACACCGGGCTGAATTCCGCTTTGTTAAGTAGATTAACATTTTTTAACTTCACTCTTTTGAACACATTGCATATACGTGAGAAATGAGGCATTTTTTTTGCTTCCGCATCTTATACTTTGATTTGTTCGCTACATAAGAAAAAGAGAAAACCGCTTAGAAATCTGCCAAATAGGTCACATACAAAACGTATATGGCGGGTATATAGAACTTTGCAAAACACCTTCGACCATAATAAAAGTACAACAAATCAAGCAACAAAAAATCCTCACCCCATCCTTGAACACCTTGCGTGCTTTTTTGCCAGTGCCAGAAAAACAGAATAGGAAAGAAAAAAGGGATTGGAAATATGAACATAGACTCATGAACAGAAATAAGGAAAAGACGAGAGATGGATAGGGAATTGAACAAAGGAAAGATAGAAAAGGAGTGCCAGTCTAGTAGTATACACTGCCGCTTTAGGCCACTACACGCGAATGCTTCCCTTGCGGTACTTCTCATCCTTGAGCGGGACAGGCGGGCGTTCATCTTCCGAGTTGCACTGAGAAGGCATAGCCGAGTCCTTGCGCTCATGTCTAGGATCGTACTTTGCACTTGAAAGAGTGCGTTCGGGGATGTACTTTGCGCTCGAAAGCATGGGTTCGGGCGAGTAAGTTGCGCTGGAGAGAGTGGGCTCCTTGGGGCTGTATCTTGCGCTTGAGAGGGTGGGCTCGGGCGAGTAGGTGGTGGCGGGCAGGAGTTGGTATATGGTCGGATGGTTTGTGGCAGAAGGGGATGTGTACATGAATTCATCGATTGCGTCGTCGATGTCGCTGAGGAGGTTGTGCTGGTTGGATTGGGAAACGGAGGAGTTGGACTTGCGGTCGAAGGGTTGCTTGGGGTCGAAGGGGAAGGTGAAGGAGATTGGGCGCTCCTCGGGGGTGTAGGAGATTCGCTGTGCGAGGAATACCGAGGTGGACTCGTTCGGCGATGGGTGGTAGGGTGTTCGGGGGCTGACAGGCAGAGGTGAGAGCATTGCCTGGGAAAGAGGGGTTTCAGGAAGCCTCTCACGTGGGCTAGCTGGGCCCAGGGATGCTGGTCTGGCTTTTCTTCGGGAGAATCCGCCGTCGTAGGTCGTCGCTGGTAGCAGGTAGGAGTTTTGCTCTGGTGCAGAGGTAGAGACTTCCTTCTCTTCACGCACAATGGTGTAGGAAATGGGTCGTTCGCCTTGCTTGAAGGGGCTTTCTGGCTTAAACAGAAGCTCGGCTTGCCTGGTTGGGCTATCGACTTCCTTGAAAGGACTCTCGACTTGATCGTTGTTCAATGTCGAGGAAGAGGAGAAGCCAGGAGAGAGGACAGGATCACTCTGACTCCTTGTATGTGTGAGGTAGCGTGGCGAGGGAACTTGAAGGTGGCTTGGAGAAAGCTGGTAGTCTGGTGGTGGCGCGATGAAGATGTCGCCATGACCCATGCGCTCGCCTGGGTCTACGTTGCGGAGTGCTCGTAGTCTCTGGTTTGCGAAGTCGGCCTCGAGAATGTGTGCCCTCTCAACCAACTTGTCGACTAGCTTGCCATGTGAGTCCTTGAAAGTCCTCTTGACGAAGCTCAACAGCAGTGACGAGCATGTCATCCTGACATCTTCCCGAATGTATAGTCCGGTCCTTGGTGTTCTTAGGTCAGGCTCGGCGGGAAGCCTTGGTTCACCAGGTAGCCTTCCTCCTACAGTCCACTTTGATTGGATGTCGAGACCCAATGGTGCATACACATGTGTGAAGAGGCCATCGGCTGTGTCGTTGAAGCAAGCATGGTATGATACTGAGCCAGTAGCCAGACCGCCTGGTAGATATGAGACCCTGTCTTGTAGTTGTTAGTCTTGGATACGAGAATAGGGGGTTGGGGAGGGTAGGCTTACCCTTGATGGTGTACCACATGGCCCAGTACTCATCAGTGGGCGCATAGGAAGGAGGCTTGCACATGAACCGCTCTACAACCAACGGGTTCAGGTCAATCATAGCCAAGTGGTCATGGTACATGTCTATCACGCTCTTCCTTGTGATGCCAGCCGGAAGCGGCGTAATAGTGGTGAAGACAGCAGTCTTCGGCATCTTGTCTTCTTAGTACGGGTTAGATCTAAATGGATCTTGATCTGGATCCGAGTTTCCAGGAATCAGGGTATATGTGGATGCGTCTAGATGTTTATACACGCGCGTGAGAAGATGGAGAGGTAGAGAAAAGTTGTTTGGACAGCAGAACAGCGAAGGAAGATGTATTTGTTTCGCAGGCTAGAAGAAGCCCAGCCCAAGAGCGCTGACACGCTTCGCACGTGTATCAGGCATGCGCTAGAGCACAGCTTCAGATCCCCTGCACCATTCATATTTGCGGAAGGTTTGGGAACGACAGGACCCTCGCCAAGCTCCCCGCCAATACTTCGGGAACGGCACTGATGCCGTTCTCGACACGCATCTAGAATTCTGCCTCCTGTCATCACCTGCCAAGCGCAGCCGGATGTGTGTTTGACCGTTCTGTTTTGATGCAGGTCCTCCAAGCGGCACCGCCAGCTCACACTGGCAGCGTCTAGAAAACACTAATGCCGAGAGCCCACAAACACAAAAATACACGCTGTAGGGCGCAGACGCGGAAGTGCAAGTTTTGTCCCGGAGTCAAGTGGCGTAGTGTAGCAGATGTCCGTATCCTGGTGCAGATCCGCCGCATGTACGTTAGAAGCTAAGGTTTGCGCTAGTACAAATGCGGCAGTTACAATGAACTATTGGAGGGTAGTTCTACTTGGACTTCAACTTTACACTCCAACATGTGTATAATAGACTTTGCCTGTCACCAACGACTGTCAAAAGGAAGGTTTGCTGTCATAATTGACATTCACGAGAAAGAAGAAGGAAAGCCTCGGCTGTACATACAACCACTACTGCGCATTGCGCACCGCACAGTACAAAGTACCCCAGAGATCTCCATCTTCAGGCATTGCATGTCTCTTTTCCGTTTCAGCATGCTCCGTCAGGCATACATCGTATGTTCAGGCATGTGCATCCCCTTTACCCGAAGGAGATTTGCTGTGCTGTTACAAACCAAGCGTTTGAAAACGACATGTTAAGAAAAGTGGTGCCCCGGCTTGACATTCCCGTTTAGGTCTCCGTGTCGAGGTCCAGACATACTTATTTCTCAAAGGTGCGCTGTTTCATCCGCGTGTATGCAAGCGCCCTTTCTTCCCGTCGTCTACAAATCCTTCTTCTTGGACGTACGTACGTATGTACGTGACAAATGCCCGATGCTATGTATAGTAGAAATGATTTGCGAAAAAGCAAAAGAGGTACTCCACATCCGTCATCGATGACATATACTGCTCTGTTTTTAGGCGTGCGGTTTACTTCGCCCTTTTTGCTTTTGTCATTGCTTTTGTCATCGCATTTGGCCAAGAACTGAACACATAGAAGCTTAGATAGCGCGATGACTGAGGTGTCATTCAGATTGACACCTGTCACAAAAGCAAGCTTGCATAGACTCCTCGAAACGATACTGGATCAAGATAGATTACGAATATTGATATTGTAGATGAATTTCAGTGCTGCGCAAAGCAAAGCAAAGCAAACGAGAGACATCATTCATGATAACACCAAAGCGCCGCAATCATGCCTGATGATCGCTTTCCAAGTCATGTACGCATCACACTCACGCTCTCAATCTCATTCATACACCTTGGTGCATTTTGATCTCCTCGTTTCCATACGGCTTCTTTCCAACGCTCGACGCACCAGCCTTGCGTCCCTTAATAACTGCCATCACACCAAGCCCGAAGGTGGCCATCCACGCAAACCACGAGATAGCGCTGATCGCTGTGCTTGCACGAGCTACATCGCAGACCTATTTGGTCACAGTTAGTCTCTATTCAGCGTAGACTGTGCCATTTCCTGTAGTCCGCCTCTGGAACTCCGCTTCTATAGCTGGGATATCATCAAAGGGAATCAGAATCATACGTACCATGCCAAAGCAAATCCTACCGTTCAAAAACACGCCTAGCGAGACAAAACCACTGAGCCAAAAGAGCATCGTCATGCCCTCGATACCCAACAAAGCCCACTTCATCGCGGTTTGTTCTGCCAAGTGGGTGAATTTGCCCAGTGAGATAAGGATCAAAGGGGCGAGCGTCAGGAGACTCCAGGCTGGCGCGAAGATGAGGTAGTTGATCTCGATTGGAGACGATTGTCGCCAATGACTTGACCACCATGACGATACTGAGCTTACGTGAGCTTGTGTCTAAAGTACAGACAAAGGGGTCAAACATACCGTATGCCATAAGTCCCAAGACAACAATGGAAAGCACAGCCTGAGCGGCGCGCACAGGAAGCATCCAGTTCATTGCCATTTTGGCTGTATGCTGTAGTATCTTCTCCTTAGGAAGTGTCGTATCGTGTGTGTAGCTAGCTGGTGCCTTGACGCTTGTCTTGCCAAGGCGACTGGACGGGTCGGTTCGATCTGCTTGTAATATATCCTCTGAATATCGTTCGTGTCCAATATACTAGCAATTTACTGAAGAGAATACTTGTCGCACCACAGCAAAACACCGCATACACACACGCAAAACGATCGTTCAGAAAATCGATCAGATATACGTCCCTTATTGCGTTGTTGTCCAGACAAACGCAAGATCCAAGGTAAGATAAACGTTGAGAAGCGAAGAGAAAGGGAATCAAAAAGGCGTGGGAGGAAAGAGAAAAGGGTAAAGTGTGAGAGGCTCCGATGGTGAGGGGGGGGAGCGCTTTAGTCGATACAGGTAAAAATATCCTAGGGCAATCCCTGACGTCGCAAAAGAAGTAAAGAAAAGTCCAGAAGGAAAAAAGAAGAATATTCACGGGTTCAAAATAAATAAGAAAGGTTAAAAAGATGAAAGCTCAGAATAATAATAAGGCTTAAAAAAAGGAACGAAGAAGAAACTCCAGGTTTCCAATCTCACGATGCGAGAAAGTAAGAGCGAGCGAGCGAGCGAAAACTTGTCAAGGACGAAGGAGAAAGCAAGAAAGAAAGAAAGACAAAAAACCTTCACCACAAAAGACCAAGACCCAGAGATAAGACTCAGGCATATACAAGCTCCCACCCCCCCCCCCTCTCCCCACAAAAAAAACACATCACCCTTCACATACAAAATTCATGCCGCTTACTTTTCCCACTTAACAGGTTCTTCTCGCCCA